GGTTAAATGTCCAGAACACATGGTCCGTTTAAGGCTAATGTGTGGTGTGTTTGCTGTCTACCAACAGCTGAGAGAGGAAGAAAAAGAGGATTTCAACCAGATAAAATCAGCACTGTACACAGCTTTTGTTATGGATGGTTTTCTGGCTTATGAGCAATTTGCTGAGCGATGGCTCTATCCCAGAGAATCAGTGGATGTCTATCTGGTGGAGTTACAAAAATTTTCCATCATGTTCAGAGGAATAAGCAACTGTGGCCTGGCATGTGCATTCCTGTAAGGATTACCAAACTGAGCTAAACATCTCCTTCATGCTTTAACTTGGATGGACAAGTTGCTATTGACTCGAGCATGAGCAATTATGAAAGATGAATTACTAGAAGAGGGACTGGCAGTTGCAGTGATGCAAACAACACAGGATGAGGCAAGGAAGCTTCCTACCAGGGATCCACATGGTTCCATAACATGCTATCATTACAACAGTCCAAATCATTTTGCAAAGGAATGCAAAAGAACTGCATGCTGAAAGTTGGACACCCCAGATGCAATGTCACAAGTGCAACATGGTAGGCCATGTAATCCACAATTGCCTGGGAAATGATCCAGAGGAATAGGCCTCAACCTGAGCTCCATACAAAGGAAGCACTACCTGCTGTGCACATCAACAGAATCAAGAGTTTAGCCTTGCTAGACACAGCCTAATTTTCTTCTAATTTTCTCAGAATCACCTCACTGTAAAGGTGGAATAAGTCCAATGAGAAGACACATCCATGTCATATGCCCTTTTTATATTTTTGTATATTTACTGAATTCCTTTTTTATTGGTATGCAGGCAGCTTGCTGCCAATGTAAATCCTGGATTATTTTAATACCCTTCACAAATATATCAAGCTTATGTAACAGTTTTTTGTGATGTACTTTCTCAAATGATTTTTGCATAGCCTATAAAACATATACCTATACTTCCTTTTGCATTTGTATTGCGCTTTCAGATTTCATTATGAGCATAAATATTGCATTCCTTGTTCCAGTGTCTTTAATGAAACCGTACTGCTCTTGTCCTATTTCCTGTCTAAATCTATGTGCTCTGTTCATCAGAATTTAGATCATAAGTTTTGCCATGTGGCAATTAACCTATTCATTTCTTTCACAGTGAACAGTCACTAGATGACAGTCAGGTGACACCTGTATAATATGTCTCTCCTTATCAAGTGAGGAGATAATTCCATTAAACTATCTCTGATAATAATATTGTTGAGAACTATGGAATTCTTGGAATTGATCGTGGAGTGGTTTTCCATTTCCTTTTCATGATTATTTTATTGATTCACCACTTAGTTGACTATTGATTCATCAAGCATTCTTCTGCCCTTTGGTAGGTCTTATTTTTCATCTTACAAGTGTTGCTAACTACCCACCTCACTTGCAGTAAATTGGAGTTTAGTCATTGGCCATCCAACACTACATTTCTTATGTGTATGCATCTATTTCAACTTAATGAAATTTTCAAAATTTTTTCCTTTCAAACTCTGATCTCTCAGGTTAATACAAGCTGGTCCAAAGGTAGCCAACACTACAAGAGAGCATTGCCCACTTGTAGGGACACCAATCTCTGCATGACATGCTACCAGAGTTGTGTTCCTTGCTACCAGTTGGGATGTCGCAACTTAAAATGCTAACCAGGTGACATCAGAATGAAAAGTCATAGCCACCAATCAATTAGATCATCTAAACTTAAATCAGTGAAATCATTAAAATCATTCTTGGGAGAAAGGAATTTGTATACAACTATGTTCATGTTCAGTAGACATGGAATGAGTCCATACCAAGCAATATACAAATCTTCTACTGTTAACCTGTTTACAGCATTGTTAATCTGTTTACTAATTTGTTTTTCAATTTTGTCAACTTGTTCTTTTTATTATTATTTTAATTCAAATTTTTAAATCATGTAGTAAAAATTTCTAGAAATAGAGTTACTGCCAGAAATATATGATTTGCTGAAAAGTAATTAATGACTGATCACTTGAACTATGAAAAAGAATGTTCATGAATTTTTAGTTAAAATATGAAGAAAAAGCAATGTTTTTACAGTGCACTTTGATTTCTTTAACTATTCACACATCTCAGATATCCAAGAGGTGTACAATTCATAATTTTAAAATGGTAATCATGTTTACATCATTTTACAAGTACTGATTGATGGCAGCTGATGATATTGTTTTTCCATTCTAAAAGAATATCTATTAAAATGTGTATAGTTACTTTTTTCTTGATCATTATGTTTACTTGTCCACATTAAACACTGGTATTTAACTAATCTGAGAAAAAAACTTCAACTTTCACAAGTAATAGTATTACTTCAAGAAAACAGAACTGTCAATCATCTTGTATCATGGAAAGAAAAGCACCTAAAAGTATTTTTTCTTATATATCTTATTTTTTTTATAATTACCATTTACATTCTAATGTTGTGGCAAGAAATGAACATTTCTTTCATATAACATGCAAAAAGCTGAAAAACATTTATTATAAAAAAAAGTCAAATTGACCCCATCATATACACAGCCTTGCCTCCTTGGGTAAAAATCAGAAACATTTCGTAATAGTGCAGCACAATCTATTGTGTTTCATTTTCTAAAGTTTCCAATTTTCTTTTCCTATGACTATTTAAAAAATGGAAAATTTTTGTTAATTTAAGTAGCAAATCACATGTGAAAATATGGTTCATACTTTTTTCCTTTATGTATGTGGAAGGCATTGCATCAAAATGATTAATGTAGCCAAGCTGTTACAAGTGAATTGTAATATCCTCAAGGACACATGGCACAGTGGATAAAGGCGTTAGTTAGATCCAGTGACAGGACCCAAAAGAGTGTGAGTTCAATACCTGGTTAAGGCAGTGTAGAAATTTCAGAGGGAAAATTAACAGGAGATAACTGATAACTGACATCCATTAAACATGGCATGTGGAACTAGAACAGTCTACCCCAGTGAGTGAAAAAAAGGGTTCATTTCAACCACCTAAAGAAGGCTGGAGCATACAACAGCCAAAATGTTGTAATAAATATGGTGACAAAGATGAGGACAATAGTCCAAATAATGTAAATATTTGATTTTGATATTTTGAATATGTTGGCTATCTACCATGTCATGATATTGCTTATTCTCAAATATGTAATGTCATGATTTAACAACTATCAATTTCAACTGGTCTACCTGATGAGAAACTAATGAGAAATCACCAACTTAACAAACCACTTCTGGCATTTTTGATCATTCACTTTCTCTATAAACTGTACCAATCTTTTTTAGACATATTTTTACCTTTCTTAAAATAAAAAAAGCCTACTATACTGAAAATATTGCCTATTTTATTTCATCTTCAGTTTTAAATTTAATAAACAAAAAATACACCAATTTTAATTTTAACATAATTTTAATCCTTGTACATTCAGTTAAAAGTGATTTTTTAATTATATGTCTCTAATGCCATTTCATGATAACAACATCAGAATTATTATTTAATAACATTTTGTCCATATATAGTTGCTTAAAGAATTAAACAAGAATTTCATTGAATTGTAAAAATTTTCTGTTATTCAAAACAGTATCCTTACTTTTGTGTTTTTTTTTTTTTATAAAAAGGTTTCCACCAATATATGATTCAGCTTTTCTCAGGTGTCTGTAGACTTTAAATACCACACTACATTTTTACCTCATCAATAATAGCCAAAATTTATGAAATCTGAGTTAGAATATTCTATGCTTCAGCAAAAGCCTTAATGATATAAAAGTGTGTATATGTATGAGATCTATAAAAGTGATGATATTATTCAGGCTTCTGATTATTTTTATCCAAATATTCACATAGGACATTTTTATAGAGAAATTTAAAGGTAAACATCTTTCAATATTAATTGAATATGTTGCAGTTCTCATTCTTGTTCCTTTGTCTTGTTTGGTACTATTAGGTACTATTGTATTAGAATACAGTTTTTTTTCAATTTAGTATTTTCTTTTCCTGTAGGATATTTATAAACTGAATGTTGCTTGACAGTAAATCCTTTTTAATAAACTGTAAACAATCAGTAAAATAAGATTTTCCATCAAATGGGACATTGTTATAAAATAGAACTTGATCAGCATTGTATCTTGGGCAGAAAGCAATTAAGTTAATGGTCTCTCCATACTTGGCATCTTTCTGTGGTTTAGTTATTGTTATGTTAGCTCTAAGCAGCTCAAAATAACATTCATTCTGCTTTTGTAGAAAAAGGAAAACTTGTATGCTTGTTTTTCTAAAAAGGTAAGTCTTTTTATTACATGTCACATAAACATTGACATTTTTGAAAATAAGAAAAACCAAGGAAAACAAATTTAGATTATATTAAATAATAACATAGTAAACATTACTTTTATATTTACTTGTATGTCTGATACAATCATGCTTGAATTGTAAAAATAGAAATCTTGAAAATACCATTTAAAAGCACATTTTGAAAATCTAGGAATAAAGTTTAAAATTTAAAGTTGAAGATTTAAAGTAGCTATAAACTTTTAATAAAAAATAAGGTTTAGTATTGTATGTATGTAAATTAACAGTTCTTCCTCAGATCAAAACAAATTTTGCTTGAATGGAAAAGTGTGCATAGATTAAAAGCAGAATGTATTATTTTTCACCCAATTTTTTCAATACATTTAATGATTTAAATATTATCACCTTCAAGCTAAAATCAAAGATGTCTTGGTGGTTGTTTAAAGGTATGTTCAAATGTTCATGGTATGTCAACTATGAAGTTAAAAGTATGTTATCTCTGTGATGTCATAAGTATTTAATTTTTAAATGTAAGTTCATGTTAATTTATACATTTATCTTGATATTTGCTATCTTTTCTATTTTTAAAGGAAATACTTCATTTTTTTCCTACGCCTGTTTCATAATATATTTTTATTGTTTTATGATTTGAATTGAAATGTGTTATTTCTCTTTGTTGTATTCACAGGAAACGTTCAACAGAATCACTGCGTACATCAAGTTTAGAGTCTCTGATAATGCCTAGTGGAGGGACCAATAAAGAAAACCAGAAAGAAGATTGTTCTACAGATGATAGCAGGGAAGAAGGGTAAGTTATTAATAAACCTATCTTTTATTTTACAATGCAAACATAATCATTAAATGCAGATTATATTTGAAAATTGTATGCTCAGATCAACTGTTTAAAAAGTTGGGGAAAATATTTCAGATCTTCAGTTTAACAGACCTTTTTGTTAGTATTCCTTTTAAATAATATGAATATTTTTTTTTTTTAATTTACTAACAACTAGGTAAATCAATTAAGGAAATATCCTAATATGGTACAACCCAGCACAATATATATTCAAATACAATATAATCAGTTTTATTTACTTATTTTGTAGAAAATTATCAGAATTGAGAATATTTTCCATGGATTTTGTATGTTGAGGGGGTATCCAAAATGAAAGCATGCTTCTGGTGTGCAGCTTGCTGTAAACTAAAAAGACTCACCTTGAGATTGCTATTATGATAATTTTAAACTATAAGTGAACTGCTGAAATATGTTTCATATGATTTACACAATCTGTGCTGTTTGGATTTAAAAAAATAAATACAAGGATCCACTTTATAACAACCACTGTGGTGGCACACTTAACATCCCTAAACATTTTTGAAAGGTTAATTTTTGTTATAATTTTCATAAGATATTTCCAAGAGGAGGTGTTATATAAAATAATCCACTAATTAGATGCTGCTCTTAAGTATCCCAGCATCATTTTAAATCAGTCTGTAGAATTGTAGAAGAAATTGTAATTATTGCCATAGATTCTTTCCTGCTATTTGTATCCTGTATTTTTTGGGGTGTGGATGGGCAACACTGAATAAATCTTCCTTTTGTTCTAGAGATACCACAAGCCACAACCTTAGCATGGCATCCTGATAATCCCTCAGATCATAAAACTAACCAATAACAATAACTACTATAAACAGTTGTCCATGTTTGGGCTTCTGTTACTGCCCTGTTTTTTTTTCTAAAATATAAGATATTGTTCATTAACTCATAAGAAATTTGAGAAATCTATACATTTTGTAACATAACAAAATCATAAATAAAAAGAGCTTTGTTTTGCGATTTGTGAAGTTCAAACAGTAATACAAATCCTATGTGTTGGTATTACTCATTTCTTAATGAGACCACAGAATTTGTATAGTCAATAGTCCTTGATTAATAGATTGCAGTAGTTATATTTTATAAGATATTTTTGAAAACAATGTTTTTTGTATATTTTAACTTATAAAAATGCTGCACTCAAGATTACTACTGGTTGTTCAGAAATCTCCTATGGCAACATTAATTTTACTGTAACAGAGATAATCCTACTTTCTACTCATTTTTTTTTTTTTGTTTTGTCTGTTAAAAAGGATTATTTTTTCAGTCTTTTTTTTTTATTGTAATATTTTCATTATGCAATCTTTTTCTTGCTAATATTTATCAAATAGGTTTTAGGGTGAAATTTTCATTCATTAACCACACAAGTAATTTCTTTGTTTTCTGGAAAAAATTCAGATTTCATTTTATTTTTAATTTCTTAGGATTTTTAAAAGGTTTTCAAATCTCCATAAGACTTATTCATTTATTTCCTATCCTTTTTGCAAAAAGATTTTTCATTATTTCATGGAAAATAATTTAAAACTACTAAATTTATTAATTTATGAAAATAATTACTTTGTTAGTTATTAATGCATAATTTATGTAGCAAACTTTATAAATGATAGAAAGAAATTTAAAATTGGTGAAATCTTACAAAGTAGAAATTAATAAAAGTTAACTTTTGAGTGACTTGAATAAAAATATTATGAATCAGAATGTGTAAGTTGAAGCTAAATGAAAACTTATTCAGTAACTTCACAATAATCATGAATAAACTATTCTATAAAATACTATAAAATTTGTGGTTAAAAAGCAATAATTTATCATTTTGTCAATAATATAAATTTAGATAATATTCTGGTGACAAATTTTGAAAAGTTACTGGTGGGCAGGGGCACTATGTAAAGTTTCCATAGAAAATGAAATGATATTGCTATGCCTTTCCTGCATGTAAACCAATTACCTTTGATCTGTATAATGTATCCTTGATTTAATCTAAGTAACAGCGATTTTTCACATATACTTGACTAAAATTAAATATATCTGCATGGTTTCTCACTTTTCTTTTTTCAACCATTTTCTAGTCTTAATTATAAATTATTATATGTATCCTATTAAATCTATACAATTTTTTGCATGTTCCTATCTGTGATAGGACTTGTCATATAGTACCAAATATTGATCTCACAATGAGGATTTGCTTTCTTGTCAATAATAGAAAGGATCTATCTTTCTCACTCTCCCTCTCCCTTATATAATAAAATACTTTAAATGCATAATCCCAAAGTGTTTACATAAAATAGTATTATTCATGTTGTTTATCTCTATTGGGTACAAAAAAACATAAATTGTAACAATGATAACAGATATTTTAAATAAAATTTTAAAACCGACTGCAGTAATTTGAGCATCCTTTGAAGTTTTAATTTTAGTTTTAATTGTAAATTATAGCATAAATAAAATAGTTGTACAAAGTAAATAATTGCTTTTACATGATTAATGAAGTTTTTATACTGTTTTTAATGTTGATTTTTGTCATACAAAATTAAATTAGAATATTCTCTGACTATTCTGTCAACAGAAAAATTTAAACTTTCATTAAAATCTTCCAAATACAGTCATAGAAATAAAAAAAGTAGTTAAGATGAGTTAATTTAATGGTTACTTAAGTGAATTTTGAAAAATTACTTATTTCTTACTTAAAACATATTAGAAAAATATTTGTTTATTGTGAGTTTTTGATTCCTGTCAAATCAGTTCAAAGATCAAGTGGGTGTTGAATCAGCTTTCTTTACCTACATTATATGTAATGAAAGCTCACTTAAATTTAGGAATGGACAACTGAAATGACCAAAAATGTGGAAACTTTATATCATCCACAATAGTAAAAGTATATTCCCAATATTAAAACACTTTTATATGACTATCAACACTAAGTAATGATTAGAAATTACTTATTTTTTTTATTTACTCTTATCTGTTTTGGATTAAAATTTCTTTTTTTAGATATATATATATATATATATATATATATATATATATATATATAAGATGAAATACTTCAGGAAGGATATCTTGAAAGCATCCCTAATTGCAATGATACTATTTTTTGTGTATTATTTTACTCTAAAGTCATAAGAATTGCATTGTTGCTCCCTTTTTTCTATTTCTAAACCTGATTTGACTTTAATCTCTACTAAAAAGGAAAAAAATTACTTTTAAGTGGGTAGGTATTTATCCGTAAATGACCGTAATTTTCTCTTCTCCTCTTAATCCAGTTTGTCAGTTGTTTTAAATTTGTAACATTCACATTGCAACTATATCATCAAGACTTTTTCTCTAAACTGTCACTCTTTAACATATAATTATTCTTATAGAAATACAAAAAGGAAACTGCTTTATAGTACCTCATTGATAAGTGAGTCACTTCGTTGGAATTATATTTTGTTTTTCCTTTGTTGAATAGGTGGACATATGCTAAATCTGTTTTGCAAATACAAATATATAGAATAAAATTCTAAAGACTTGTACTTTTTATATTGATCTACTATGTGTTTATATTTTTATCTAATCAATTTGTATTTTTCTCTTAACTTTAATCTTACTTGGTTCAAATGTTTAATTAAGTTTAACAACCAACTTTTTTATAATTCTGTTAATGAGCACTTATAATTGAAAGTTATCTTAAAAAATGCTAACTATTGAACATGGTTATTAGAATATATTTGAATATAATTTCTTTGTCCAATCTAGATTTTTAAAAATGCCAAAAATTTGATTTGATAAACAATATAATATATCTCATTTAACTTTCTGATGGTCTTTAAAAATGTTTTTGATATTTAATTTTCATAAGTTTCCAGTACTTTGCATCACAATCTAAAATGCTTTTTTTTACAGTATCAAGTTAATGTTTGGAAAAGAATATATTTCTTTGTTGAGCCTCTTATCTATTGCCAAAATTCTGCAAAAATGAATTTTGATTATGTACACTAATGTGCTATTTTTAGATTTTCTTTCGACATTTAAGACTGAAATATTTTCAAGAGAGATGTATTAATAGGATCAACTTTAAATAATACAAAATGTATTCTCTATGAATAAAAGTTATGCTAAAAAAATGTTATTTAATATTGTTTTTGATAGATTAACTTCAGGATACTTTTCTAGAAATGATATGTAATCAAATAAATTTTATATGGTAATTTAGTGAATAAGGAGTTATATACACATGTTTCAGAGACCTTTATTATAAATACAACTGATCATAAGCAAGAAGATTAAATCATTTTGTTGTAAAATTAATTTTGAATCAGTTTTCTTCAAATTAAATGTTGGGCATATTAACAGTTCTGGATAAATAAATTTTCTATAGTATAATGACTAAGCTTTATAAATTTTGTTTGTTCTAATTAACTTGTTTCTAATTTTAAGTAAAATTATTTTTAATAATTAATATCCTAGATAGATAGTTAAACCAGTGATTATTCCAGATTTTACCAGTATACTGGTATGATGATAGGAAAATTGTATATAACAAAAGCTTTCACATAATCTATAGTGCATAGATATATATCCTTCTGCATTTGTATTGTTCTTTGTGATATAATTCTGAGCATATATATTGCATTCTTTGTTCTGATGTTTTTAATGAAATTGCATTGTTCTCATCCTATTTCTGGTCTAATTCTGCTCTGTGTGCTATTCATCAAAATTCAGACAAGTTTTGTTATATGACTCATTAGGTTGATTGTCCAATTGCACCTGCCTTCTTTGACAGTGCTATGAAAACTGATCTAGTAAGTTCTTCCAGTATATCACCACTGTTGTATATTTTATTTTTTATTTCTGTAACTTTGTCAATGCTGAAATCATCTAAGACTGCTAGCATCTCTATTACAGTTTCATTTGGTTCTGTTACTTTGTTTCTATTCAACTTGGCCAGTGCTGATATC